CCTTCCTCAGTAGGACAAAGCTTCACGCACGTGGGGCTGGGAATCACTCTATTCGCCACAGTCACGGAAAGGACGTGTCACTCACTCTACACCAGCAGCTCACAACCTAGGCCCATTTTGTCCCCCAGGGGATACTGTGCAATGTCTAGAGACATTTGTGGGGGAAGGAAAAAGGTGCTACTTGCTTCTAGTGGCTAGAGGCCCATAATAGGAGATTATCAGATATCTCTTTTTGACCCACCAATATAGCAGGGCAAAGTTCTATTTATTAAACATCTGCTCTTATCCTTCTGCAATGACCCTTCGAAGCCCCCCAGACACCTTACCTCATCCCTAGCTCAGGATGTCTAATATAACCATGTTTCATTTTATCTCTGAACCTCTCCTGCATGTGGGATCTCTGACTTTCTCATGTATGCGAGGTTCTCGTATATATGTATGTATTAAATTTGGTTATTTTCTCTTACAAAAAAAAAAGAAAATAGAAATCACTGGCAGTATCAAGGAGTGGTGAGGAACAGGTGCCTGGAACCAACAGATCCAAATTTGAACCCCAGATCCATGACTACTTACCCTGAGAACCTGTATCAGAAACATCACCCCTCTGGGCCTCAGCATCCTCACCTAAAGGGCAGAAAACCACTTCCCCCCACAGAGTATCATTGGAAGAATTAATGGCACTCCCAGGAAAATGATTAGCAATGATGTTCCACAGTACCCAATAAATGTTACATGTCATTACTGCTTAATTCCCTTCACAGGTTATGGGCAGCATCAGAGGAAATCATTTAAATGGAATGTGTTCTGCAAAATACAAAGCCTCCTCCATATGTAAGGTATTAATGAATGTTCCCACCCAAGACACCAGGGTCTTGACATAACTGAGCCTGTCTCAAGTTCCCGTTGCTGCAGCCTATGAAACACACTGAAGAATCCACAGTACTGGTGCTGCAGGACTTCTCACTGCTGAGGTTTTTTGTTTTCTTTTTGTTGGTGGTGCACTGTTTTAGCAAACGATGATGATAATAAATTAGGTCAGCTAACAAAAGAATATTTTTCAAAGAGAAGTCAAACCCAAGGCAGAGCAGCAGGACAGGGCAATGAAGACAGTGATCAGTCTCTCCCTGCCTAACCTCCCGCTATTCTCCCCTCCCCTTCTGCCCTGCCACTTTATTTTTCGCAGCAGGTTCCCAAATGCCTTGTGCCTAATGGCTCCCTGGGGCTCCACCAGCCTCTGTTACAGTAAAAAGCAACCAATTACACTCATTAAAATCAATAAGGGGTAAAACCTGAACCATTTCAAATTAGCATAGAGTGTTCAAACTTTAAAGAATGTATTAAAATTTAAGTGATGCTAAATGAAAATGAATATATTCCTTATGTCATCAGAAATGTGAGAGTAAAAGTTATGAAATCCTGCTTTGGAAGGCGTGGTTAAATCAGGGTGCAGAGAGTGTTCTTCTGTTGAGATGATGCATTGGCATCCACCCTGCACAGAGCACCTGGGGAAAATGAAACTCTCTGAGAACAAAGGGAATCTGTACCAAGTCGGCATCAGTGAATGAAAATGCCATGTAATCTCAAAAGATATATCATATTCAAAATTAAATGCTTACTCAAAAAGAGGCATGAAGGAGAAGTAGGCAGTTCCTTGGGTCTTGTCTGAAGTAACAGTTGGAGTAAGTGACAAGGCAGCCTTTAGAAGGATCACACAAACTGGGGGCTTGGTGGTCACAAATTTTCGTGTGTGTGTGTGTGTGTGTGTGTGTGTGTGTGTGTGTGTGTGTGTGTGTGTGAAAACAACAATAGACAGGTGACCAATAGTCAGAAATGCCTTATGCACTTGGGCACAACTTCATGATCATTTCCTCAGCCAATATTCTCAGCCTGGCTGGACAGCTCCACCAGTATTTCATCAAATTCGACACATCCAATCCCAGCACCTCCTGCTGATGACTCACCTGCCCACTGTCCTGCCATCAGCCCACATCCAGGCCCACACAGTTGTCTGCACAGTACAGCTCCTAGCACTCAGGTCCTGCCTGCAGGTGGAGATGACCTTTCCCTTCAACTTTTTCGGCCACCAACCAGATTCGGATTCTTGGTCACCTGAACAACCACAGTATCCCTCTAACTTATCTCCATGCCTTTAGTCCCTTCCTAGCCAACCCATTATCAATTAGCACTAAGAGTCTTTTCTGATCATGCCATTCTCCAAGGAAAATTCCTTCACAAGCTGTCCAGAGCCTATCTAATAAAGGCCGATCCACTGTGTCCCATGGTCAGAGTCCTCAGTGACCTGACCTCAAACCACCAGCTCACCTTTACTTCCTTTTCTCCTAACAGGTGGAGTTGCAGCTGCTCCAAACTCACTGTGCCCCAAACCCACCACAGTCCCCCATCTCAGGCGTGGCTCAGCCATCGCTTCTCCAATCGTACTTCCCTACCACCCATGTGTGATGAAATTCTTTCTGCCTTTGAGGACCAGCTCTGTCGTCTCAGCTCTCGTATTCTAAGCTGTATAGCATTTCAGTGCCATCTGAGGCCCTCTGGGTGCCCACGCTGAGAAGCAGTAGCATGCAGTGTGTCAAGTGTATTCTCTGGAGACAGACTTCCGAGGTCCCACTCTTGGTTCCAGCACCTGCTGCATATAACTGGGAACAATTACTTACCTCTTTGTGCCTCAGTTTCCTTATCTGTGTATGAGGATGACTACGGCAATATTTACTTAGTACAGTAACCTGGTACAGAATAAGCCACAATAAGTGTCAGCTGTTTCTCTGTTGCCCACCTGAATCCCTAAGCAAGACCATAAACTTGTCAAGGGTGCTCCCACACATCCTGCACATGGACATTCAGCATGTGCCCAATGCTGTCCAACACACTTCAAAAAAAAATGAAGGAAAATTTCCAATTAAGGTTACCCTCATAGTTACTGTTCTACTCCCAACATAGAGCAATGATAGAGAAAACAGAAAAGAACATGGCACTTATACAATCATTATAAACTTTTCCAATACTGCCAAGATACACCACAGAGCAATTCTCAAGGTATTGTTTAACTATTTTTTCACTCTTTCAAATATTTATTGAGCACCTGCAGGCAATACTGAGGTCCAGAAATATTGATGGAATGTACTGATCAGGTAAGAAACTGCCTTTATTAAAATACGGAGAAATTGTTAGGTTTTATAATGTACTTATAGGAAACAACTCTTGGAAAAAAAAGTGTGTAAAATGTTACATTTAGGTAGTCACTTGTGTTTGGGAATGTTTTCCGTGATAAGCTTTGTTGGTAGAAATAGAATATATCGAATCTGTGGAGTCAGAATTAGAAATGCCTGCATGGGCAAAATCATGGCTCACCCAGCAAAACTGGAGACAAGTGTGTATTAAAGAAAAGAAGCCATATGGCTTTGAGAAAGGAGAAATGAGGGTGGAGTTTAGAAGTTTGGACAAAGATTTTGTGGGTGAGTTTTGAGCTATCCCTAAAAGGTTTATGAGCTCAAGAACTTCTAGGTCACAAACTTTCCTTGGTGGGTCTCCCACTGGCCTGGGGACAATCTGGATAAATAAAGCAGAAGATCAAGAATTCATATTGCCTGGCCCTCCGCCTCCCT